AATATATAATATATATATATACATATAATGGGCAAAACTTTTTGTGGGATGACATTTAGAAGAACGTCCATGTAGACTGGGCGGTTATGATTCTGAACTGTCTACAAAATCAGAAATGTATTTTAAAACAAACCATAAAGCGGGTGACATGCACGCATACCCATCAACCCACCAGAAAAGTAGAAAAAAATAATGTATTTTAAGACGATGAGATTTTTTTTTTTTTTTAAAGTCACCAGTTTTGGTGTAGCTTAGGTCTGAAATAGCTCCAAGCACTATTTTGTTAATGGAGCCTATCGCTTAAGCAAATAAACTAAGGATCTCAGGTAGTGCACCAGCACAGTGAATGAGAATTGGCAGTCACGTGCCCTATCCATGACCTCAAGACAAATGTTTTCAACGAGAGACTAATGAATTGGTTTTACAGTAAATGTTATGCACCGCACGCACCTCTGGCACTGAAGGGGTTATTGTATTTTCAGCTTGAAATGCACGACTGCTTTGCTCTGACCTTCTGACAGCAAAGTTAATGCAGTGAATTTTTTCTAATTTGTTTGGCTATGCAATGTATTGTGAGCCTCCACTGCAGATTTTCAGTGGAGGAGCACTATACTTTTCATTTCTCTCTTCTGAGTGAAGCTGTTCAACTATGATTTCAGTTAGCTAACTGCTTCTAATCTATTAACAGTGGACTATAGCCAGTTCTTTGTTGATGGAGTGGTACCACCAACGTCAAGCTGCATTTCACTCTCTACATCTTGGTCGATTCTTGTTTCAGCATCTGTGACATAGTGGCTACATGATGCATGGGACAGGTGTCATTCGAACTAATGTAATCCAGTGATTGGCCCTCTAATATGACCGGGCACCACCTGAGCTCAGTCCCTTTCTGATAGCAGAATAATAATTTGGGGCTGTGAAGTCTTCATTCGGTTATTAGGAATTCCTACTTAACCTCTCTGATTGCTCATGGGAGCAGGAGTGGTGATGTTGTTTGATGTCCCAAGATATGAACTAATACACTTATATAAACATGATCCCCATTCTCTTTCCCTGACTTTCTCTCTCTCTCTCTCTGTGTATATATATATATA